ACCCTACTTTAATTATGAAGGCCCCCATATTGCCTGGAAGACGACGCACGGTGAGCACCAGGGAGCCGGGTTGCAGCTGCTGAAACGCAGCTCTCAGCTCGAAAAGGAGCTTCGCAGGGAAGGCCTCGATGTGAAGAAGCACTCTCTTAGGGCTTTAGGGAGATTGGGGTTAGGGATATGGGATTTTCGGGTTTAAGGTCTTAGCGGCTTTGATTTTCGAGGGTCGAGGGAGCCCAACACCTTCTATGGGATGGCTCACGAGGTCTCGCTAACTGTGCGTCTGGTACCCTTCCCATCTCCCCCGCCGATGGTACTTTAGAGCCCTTAGAACCACAAGCAAAGCAACATTCAATGATCCCTTGGAGTGTTGTCACAATAAAAATGGCGCACTAAGGAATAAGCGAAGGACTGCGGAGTTGACATAGACCAGCGTAGCGCTGGACCAAGTCTTCATCTCCCGGAAGTCTCCTGGCTCTTGCATCGTGGCGGAATACAACTTTCGAGCTCTTGTGCTTATAAGTTTAGGGTTTAGGGTCTAGTAGGTTTAGGGTTTAGGGTTTAGTAGGTTTAGGGTCTAGGGTTTAGGGAGGTCTACTTTTTCGGGGTGGCTCTTCTCCACCTTGCAGGAATGAAGATGTGCTCCCTTGGGGGAAAACGACCCTTGCCTTGGAGCAATGCCAGCCGCGATGAGCTCTCCTTACTAGCGGAACTGAAGCTTTACCCTTTAGGACTAGATAGGGACTCTAGAACTTGACCACAAAACGGCTAACACATCATGTAGTGAATAAACAACACCAACCCTAATACACTACACCCCAAGAAGGCTAAATAAAGCTTGCTCACTCTAGTACTCAGTCTCTTCATCGCGACGCTGAAGAGCCCCTTGCAGTCTGGAAGCTGCAGCAGCACGGGACCTCAGAAGCATCGATCTTGGTCCTTTAAAGGGACTCTAAGGGTGTCTGTAAGGGGGAACATGGGAGAAGCATGGGGCTTAGGGTTCCTTTCAAGGAATTTGGGTTTGGCTATGGGGACGAAGATATCTGCAAGCCGGGCGCAGTGAGAGCTCGATGCCAACTGCATGGGCGGGGCTCTGCAACACCACCTCTGATGCTTGGGGTTTGGAGTTCATTCTATGATAAATTTCTATTATATTCTACTATGTTCTGTTATATTCTACTAGGTTCTATTCTATTCTACTATGTTCTGCTTTACCATGCTATGTCCGGCTTTCGAGTTTAGGGTTGACAAGGCTTCTCAGTACAGAGGCCTCCCTGGAGAGCAAACGAAGAGAACACCGCCTTTTTTGGCAGGGCTTTTACAGTGCGACTAATGCAGGGATGCTACTATAGGGCTTTAAGGGTCTGAGGGGTCTTCGAACTCCCAAAAACCATGAAACTTCCAACAACCTGACACTCCAGAACCCCCTAAACCCTAAACCCCTAAACCCCTAAATCCTAAACCCCTAAACCCCAAGAAGGGCGTCCTGCGCTGGGACGCGGCCGCGACCAGAGCCGAGGTCAACAAAGACATCGTCAGGACCAAGGGGGGAAAGCGAGGCGAAGAAGTCCTTCAAAGATGTTAGGGTTTACGGGTTTAGGGGTTTAGGGTCTAGGGATTTAGAGTTTAGGGATTTAGGATTTAGGGTTTCGGGTTTCGGGTTTAGGGTTTAAGGGTGCGAAGAAGTCCGCGAAAGATTTAGGGGCTTTTCGGGCCTGAACCCTTGAGGTGTTCGGAGGTTCGGGGCTTTATTGGTTTGAGCTTTAGGGCTTTCAAAAAAAAACACTGGCGAAAAGCAATGAGATTTCTCAGCGCCTCGAAAAAGCGTTTGTTTCCTGTCTTGGCTGGCCTTTGCTATCTGCTACCGACCGTAAACCCCAACGCTAAACCTTAAACCAGCGCAACATACCCGGCAGGCATGTTCAACAGTATACTACACTATCCTATTTTGTTCTATTCGGTTCCAAAATAAAATTCTGGTATCAAGCCATGCTAAAGTATCTTATGCTAAACTCTATTGTGCAAAAATATCGTCATTAAAATGCACCATAGTACGTACATTATATCATATACCATACACTATGGTATAAGGTACTACTGTATCATACCATGCTCGTCTGTCCAGCATGGCCGCCACACCAGCAGCCCTCAGTTCACCATAGGTTCCAGCATCGCCCAGCGCTTGCTCCCGCAAAGGCCACGGCTCATCAAGCTCGGAGAGCAACTGAGCAACGGTTTAGGGTTTAGGGTTCTGGGTTTAGGGTGACAGTGACGCCATTAAGCAAAACAAAAGGAGCGAATCGAGCAAAACACTCTCGGAGCAGTACCGCTTGCAGGCGCTCGCTTTGCTGGACATCCTGCGGATGTGGCATCTCTGAAGCAGGAGGTTGGCTGCTTATCTCTGTGGCTTTTGAGCGCAGTCAACATCTACGGTGCTAACCACAGGCTGCACCAGTTCAGCTTTTTGCAACGTCTCTGAGGCCGGAAGGTGATCTAAGCAGCTTCCTCAACAACAGAATGCTGAGCGCACTTGTGGTAACTATAATGCACCGTAGCATCATGGAAGAGAGAGATAGACAGAGAGAGAGAGAGAGAGACAGAGAGAGAGAGAGAGAGAGAGACAGAGACAAAGAGAGAGAGACAGAGACAAAGAGAGAGAGGAGGGAGAGAGAGAGAGAGAGAGAGCGAGAGAGCGCGCCGGCATGTGCAAAGCCAAGGGCCAGGATCTGGTTCGCGGTGACAGTAATATGATATAACACAAAATAATAATAACAATAATGATAATAATAATAATATTAATATAATAATAATAATCATAAATAAGATAACAATCATAATAATAATGATAATAGTAATAATAATATTAATATTAAAAAACAAAAATATAATAATAATCATAATATAATAAACGTATAATGATGTAATAATATAAAAATATAATAATATAGTAATATAATAGTATACTAATATACCAATATAATAATATAATAATATAGTAATACAGTACAATGTAGTATAGTAGAGGGAGAGCTCCAAAGCTGCTCCCACGATCTGTGCCCTGCTGCCATGCTTGGCCCCCTCTATGCCTCATTCTGTGCTTTCTGGGGCTCAGGGTTTAGGAGTTTAGGGTGTAGGGTTTTTAGTGTTCTTCACTGTGCAAAAAATGGAAACCTACGACTGTCTGCACAGAGCACTCCTAAGTCTCCCTGGCTCTTCGTAGGAAATGGGGGAAATGGACTACTGCAAGGGAATCATAGGGTCCACTTCCCCATTGACTACTCAGAGCCAAGACGAAGCCGAGTGATTCTGTCAGGCAGCTAACAGATATTCGATACTATCCATTGTCCACTATCATTTACATGTTATGTATTGTATGTCGCGTATAAAAAACTATCTGTCTGTCTGTCTGTCTGTCTGTCTGTCTCTGTCTGCCTGTCTGTCTGTCTGTCTGTCTGTCCGTCTGTCTATATTGTATATGTATATCTATCCATGTGTACATATATATATATATACATGTACATACATATACACATGTATACATATATTGTTCTTAGAAGTATCATTCGTATTATCATTATCACTACTAACTATTATTCTCACTAGTATTTTTATGGCATACTCCAGTATCTCATGAAACCACAACACCAAGCCCAGCAACCTAATCGAGAAGCTGTCCCTCAAAGGACTTATCGCGACGACATCGGCGAGGACTCTCAAGCAGAATTTGGGTTTAGGGTTTAGGGGACACGACATATCGCGGCACTGCAGTCCTGGCAATGTCCAGGAGTCAAAGCAAAGATGCCAAAAGCGCCAACGCGACCGATGCCACGGGCCGGCATCGGCAGCGAACCGACTCATGTGTCTCTGGCTGTGTCTCTTTCCAATGGCATGTGTTACGAAAATGCAGTCTTGCGGTGGATCATGGACTTTCAGACAACGAGAGATCCCTAAATAGCCCCGTAAATCAGGGAGCTGTCTGTAGCTTTCAGAAAGCCCCTGCACTCATTCTCAATGTTGTGTGCGACTAGCTATCGTAAGCACCAGCGCCGGATGAACTTAGCAAGGACCGGACCGGGTCAAGACAGACCTCAGGGTTTAGAGTTTAGGGTTCGCAGCTGTTTGTTCCCACGCATGCCACGTCTTCTTGGGCTTTGCAGTAGACGATCCAGTGAGCGATCGATGCAGTTAGCTTTTGGCCGATCGTCGACTGCACCTGGTAGAGGGCCCCCTCCTACTCAGTTCAGAGGGCTGCTTCTAGCTGGCCTACAGCAGGAATCTGAGCAAGCTCAATCCACCTTAGAAGTTGGTGGTTTGGAGTAAAAAAAACACTCTCAGACTCCCTGCCTTCTACTACTGACCTACATTTGGGGGTTTCCGAAAACAGGGGACCCTAATATAGTATCCTAAATAGTAGGATCCTTATTTTAGAAGAACCCCAAAATAAGGTACCCGCTATTTTCCGAAACTCCCATTTACTACGAGCTACCAGCATCGTTGGCCTGGCAACTGGAGGGTTAAAAGCCTGAGAACAGGCTTGCAGATCGGAACATGCAGAGGGGAAATTTTCGAGTAGCGCAGCATGAATAGAGGACACTCACACACACACACACACCTTCTAAGACAACAACTTCTAAATTCGTTCCTAAAACGTCTCGGCCCTACGTGCTCTTTATGACTTCCTTCTTTGGCAGAAAGAAGCCCGATTCAAGGTCTGCGCCGTGCACAAATACTACAACAGTTCTTGGAGCTTCCGGCATTATAAAACTGACTCGAAGCGAAGATCTTTAACTTGGGTTCACGGTTTTTTCAGGCACTTTAGGTTGGGAGGTTGAGGATCTTGGAGTTTAGGGCTACAGGCGATCTGGGTGTAAGGAATCGTAGATGTGCCACCTTGGAGTGTAGCTCTGGGCTGCGTGCCAAAAGCATTTGCTTGGCACTTACAGCGCAGTGCTGTCTGCTTCGGCTCCAGTGAAATGAATAGACTGATTTGTCGCCCCCGTCCGGACATATTAGCATATGTTCTGTTCTGAGATTTCATCTAGCATTCGGTCATGCTCTCTCTCGCTCTATATATATATATATAGATATAGACAGACACATAGATCATAGATCTATCTATGCATCTATCTGTCTATCTGTCGATCCATCCATCCATCTATCTATCTCTCGCTCGCTTTTTCTATATATGCAGATAAATAAATAAATATGTGTATATATATATACACATACACGCACACATATATATATATATTTCTTTATCTATTTATTTACTTATTTATTTATGTTCGGACGGGAGGATATGTGGAGCGCAGAGCCCTTGAGGCTGCAGCTCGCTGAAGTCGCAGAACACCCGTTTATGATCTCTTCGTGTTTCTTCAACCTTCAACCAGAAACCCCACCCCAAGGTTTAGGGTTTAGGGCTTAACCCTAAACCTTAAACCCCAAGATACGCTCTGAATCAGGCTACTTTGCTGTTCTTCAGTGGTGTCACTGCTGATACCACTGCAGGCATCCTTGCTGCCGGAAAATGTGAGACTTGCTGGTCACTTCAGGGAACCTGAGATTCAATATCTGGATAGTTTCTTTGAGACGGTATAATAGAGTCTTGCTGAGTGATATGGGTAGTCCTCTAAATCAGGGTGCCATTAAAGGTCCTTTTGGTAAGGGTGCCGTACTATGCTTGGGGACCTGAAAAAGGACCCCAATCTTGAGAACTGCCCATAAGACCTGTCGATTTAGGCACTTGGGCTCCGGCACCGATTGGGCGCCTGGGTCTTGTCGGCATGCCGGCAGCGGGCAGGTGTAGGAGACCCAGCCTCTCCGGATGGAGGCCAGAGCTCCCAAGGATTGAAACCAACATCGAAAATATCCCCAAATACTGCAAAATGATGAGGAACATATAATAATATTGATACTGTTAATGCTATTCATAACAATAGCATCCCGAAGCGTGCTGTGCAAGCTCTGGGCCGCGCTGCAAAGAATGCAAGCCATGGAGGAGTGGACGAGAGGAGAGTGCAGAAGATATTTAAGGTTTAGAGTTTAGGGGTTGCACGAATCTGAAAGTCCACGTGCAAACGTCAGCCAGAACAGCAAACAGGGAGTGTGCATGTATCTGCCAACACCCAAGCTGCCATGAGCCTCTCCGCGCGCTGCGATCGCAGGGGCTCCAACCTTCTGTGCCGCGCCTCGACAAATCCAATTCTGACACCATGCTGCAAAACATTTAGAGAAGAAACATGCCTGATTGCAGCAACCCCACAACACTGCACAGCAAGGCAAGACTCAGTCTCTGTGTGTGTGTGCACGCCGATGTACCACTTCAGTGCACCAGCCGAAACTTGTCATCTACAATGCAACACCTATGCCGTTTGCAAAACACTGCCTTGGCCGGCGCAGTCTCTGCAAAACTGTCGTGCGAAGGTGCCTCAAGCAACATGAGTCGCATCAATGTGCCAAGGAAGCCCTTCGCACAATCGGTAGAAGACAGCCACGTGAACCATTGACGAAATGTTGTTTACAGGCCTAGCTTCTTGAGCTGGCGGAGGATCGGCCGAACTAGAAACAACGAGTCCTACCGCGCTCGTTGTGCGGTGGGGCAAAATTGGAAAGCCGCGACAAGGAACGCAACCCTCAACCGACTGGACCAGGGCACTCGGACACATAGGGTACCATCCCTTAGAAGTCATTATAGTACTTTATGTGCAGTACCCCGAACCCTATTTCGGAGTCAGATGAAAATCCCATAAAACCTGACAAAAGAAGCTGAGAGCTCGACTGCCATTGACAAGCCCGACATCAGGGAGCTTTTGGGCACGGTCTCTGAGAGACCCAAGGTGGGCCTCTCGATTTTGGTGGTGGTCCGATAGTAAGGTTTAGGATGTAGAACCCCTCAAAAGAAAACCCTCCCCGCATAAGAGTTGTTAGACTATCATAGGGGTCCTACTATGGGGTTTTGTTTACCCCGTTTACAGTTGTATTTTGTAGAAGATGTAGCATGTCGTATCACCATAACCGTCGTCTGGCTCAAGAAATATCTGCGTGCGCATTCTGGCTCTTCTGCCTGTAAACATAGGTTATCAGCCGTAGTCTCACCGTAGAGAAAAAGTCAGCAATGAAACCAGCTCCCGTAAACTCTGCAGGCATTCCTATACCTCACTCGACAACGCAGGAAGTGCCTTCACTTCCTGCTATGTCCGTTCAGGAAGATGGCACAAACGAGTTGGCCATCGCTCCCCGAGAGGGTGAAGCAATCATGCCTTTGACTGAACCGTCGCTTGCAATGCTGGGATTAGATGACCCTAGAAGAAGAATGGCAGGTACGATTTCAGAATGGGACTATGTGAGTTCACCAACTCATGCACACGCACCTTTAGCGTGGTCGCAGCAACCGTGACATCATTACACTTCTCACCCAATGAGATCTCTCAAGTTGCGAACTTCTATCACATTCAGATTCTTGCACCTTCCCTCCATCAACAACTCCTTGTCCAGAATGACGCTGGGCCGGCTGTAGCCGCAGAAGCCGAAGCAAGGCATTCGGCAATCATGAATGAAAGAAACGAACATTTCAGGGAGCAATATATCAGGCTTCAGCATGTGGCAATTTCGAGAGCATCACGACTCAGACTTGAGTTTCTTCAAGCCGACGCCGCCCGAGAGGGCCGGCAGACCAACATCATTGATCTGCAGCCCTCGTCTGTCCTACAGCGCTTACGCATTACTTGGCAGGACGATGAACAGCTTGAGAGAGTTCAAAGCACCGCGTCCACAATCCGGTCCAAGATCATCAACCAGCAGAGGCAGGCCGACAGCAAGTGCAACACGACGAATGAATGTCGATCCCATGCAAGCCCACAATCTCGCGAAGGCGAGTTCGAGCGTTTACACTGTTGAGGCTCTTCAGCGAAACCCGAACGCTAGGCTGCGCCCGCAAAGGCAAGGGTACGTCGACGTACTAGGACGCCACCGGTAAAGTTGTATTGCTTTGGGTCGCTGGCCAGACTGAAATCGACGTCCTCTCGGAGTGTCTTGTTTGCTTGCATGATCGCTTCTATATCATTGACGAGATCTCCGTCTTGACCCAGGCAATGAAGACGAATCAGTATGAGTTCACGCTGTCAAAGTACTCGGTCATTCAGAATGAAGTTTCGGCAATCCTGGGCGAGCCTCGCAACACTCTTCGAGAGAGAGATCAGCAAGCGCCGGTTGGCCGTGACCCTGCAAGCTACATCAGCGATGCCGCTTGGTCTGCAATGGCATCTGGCGGAGCATTCGCCACCTCAGCACCGGAAACGGCTGCTCCAGCATCATCTCCCAGACATGACACCGAGAGCATTGCCTCCGGTAGCACGACCGTGCCCAATCTGAACCGCCCGGCTGGCGCCTGGGACGAACCGTATCGTCGGCGCCCAGCAGAGCCACCAGTTTATGGGCCGTTCTTCAGCACGCACGGCGTATCAGGCAGAGGGGCGTGTGCCCGTCAGACGAAGTCGATTTCTTCGAGCAGCTGCAGACGGCGGGGCTGCTCTACCAGAACTTCCGCTTGGGATACGATGCGGCAGGAAACCTCATCGACCCCACTCTAGCGAGGAGGGCAGATTGGAACAAAGCAGATGCTTACCAGTGGGCACCCTTCGCCGCGACCACTGAGGCATATGTGCACGCGGAGCATGTCATCAATACGATCCCTTCGCACCAGAACTTGCACGGTTTCACAAGCTTCGATACATCTCACGTGCAGTGGTACCTTGCCGGATGGAACCATGAGATCTACAACCACCGCAAAGGTCGCCGTGAGCGCCGGTATTGATGGCTTGACCTTTTTCATTTCGCGGCCTTTAGTGCCGGAACATGCATCACCCCCCTAACGGGACGATCGGGACGGTACTCTGAGTGAAGCTTAAGTACCCGTTTCATTAGAAGTGAAGTGATCTTTCAAGCGTTCCCGGCACCACCCTAGCGGGTCGGTGAGCGTCCGATCCAGTGTGTGGGGTGTCTCATGCCCCGCTCAATTCCCTTGCGAGTTGAAACTTCTCCTACTGTCGCAAAGCGATGGTCGCCAGACGGTCTAGCGACTTGTCTTTCCTTCTACCTTGCGTTTCGCCTCTTCGGTTGCTCTAAGATGGGCGGGGGGTTGTATTTTGTAGAAGATGTAGCATGTCGTATCACCGTAACCGTCGTTTGGCTCAAGAGAAATATGCGCGTGCATTCTGGCTGTTCTGC